ATGACATATATTTTTACTCAAATTGCTTTGGATTTTAATTATATTATCTCATATTTTAGCTATAATGAACTAAATAGGCGAGAACCTCAATTTCTTGAATAATTTAACTAAATTTATCACATTATAGTGTGGTTCTTGGATTCTTAATGAAAATTGAATATTTTAAATATTTTTCTTTTAAATTACATACTCATATTGGTCGACCTGCGTCCCGTAAATTACTGGACCTGCCATGGTGCGAGTATATGTATCGAGATTCCGGGCCTGCCCCATTGCCATTCCTACATTCTATGTTGGCATTTTCACATGTCTCTTGGTTTCATTACAAAGAAAATTGCAAAAACACATTAGAATCGGATATCCATTTTTCTTTTGAGTACCCAATATAATGACTCTAATTAAACCCAAACTAAAAAAATTAAATATAAATATGCTCCTCACCTGAAATTGTTCAAATCTAGTTTGACCTATAATAAATTGAATTCGAACAATGCCCAAAAATTTAGGTATCTTTTTCCATCCTCGCTCAAACGCAATAGTAAGTACTATTCTTGCAATTGATGTATACAACAAACCCATTCCCTGTATTGGTTATGGTTTGAGCCGGCTGGATTTCCATGACTACTTTGCTTTCCCAGCATTAAAACAGGTAACTGATAGTAACATCACTTTCCTTTCAATCATACTGAAATTATTGCTACACAGAAATTTCTCGACGACAAAGAATTGGGAAAAAAGCAGACAAAATGAAAGACTTTATGTGCATTTTGGTCCCTAAAATTACTTTCATACACACAGCCACAGGTCTGAAGAAAGTGCCACTTTGGTGTTCAATCAAGAAATGCGCATATATGAATTATGATAAATATAGCTCTTAGGTGGAGATTAGGAATATGGGCTTTTCTCCACTTAGGTTGCGTATCTCCCATCTCCAACCTATAGATAGACCTCTTTGATTTCTTTTCTCATGAATCTTAGGTTTACAGATTTATCTTTTACAAGGTATTTTTTATCGTCAACTCAATCGAAAGTCCGAGTACAGTTGGGATTTTTATAAACTAGTCATGCAAGATTTGTGCTTGAATCATTTATCAACCTGTAGGTCATAAAAAAAAATTAGGGGATTACTTAGTCATCCATCTAACTTAAATCGATTGATTACTTTGTTCTAAAATTTTGGTGAATATTAACATGAAATTAGCTGTAAAGCGAAGTCGGAAGGTGGTACCTAATAAGATGAGTTTTGTGGCCTCTTTACCCTACCTAAACTTATCTCAGGTAACACCTCTTACTGACATCATATTAGTTTAGTCGCACACTTATCCCATCTAAACTGACATTACATTAGTAACACCTCTTAGTTGTTAGGAAAATTGAAAAAAAAAATTCATTGTTTGACGAAGGAACATTATATGTTTCATCGATTCAAAAGTTGTGATACATTTTGGTCAATGTTCTCTAACACTACAACAAATTACTACCAAAAGCACATTAATTATGCAATAAGAAATTAGGCTTTTACCCATGAAGCAAAAAATAATTAAGAGCATTGTTTCAAAATTTGCTTTTTTTATGGGGAGCTAGCTAGCTAGCGCGCAATATACATCTTTTTGTTGCGGGCATCCAAACATTACCCCAACTAAAGAACACATATTATTGATCAATCATTGTGCGCACAAAATAAAAGATCCTTTCACTTCTCTTTCTCAGTTTCTCTACCGCATATTTTCTCTTTTGGATTAATATAATAATAGAAATTTTCTGGACACGTAGACTTGTAATACCAAATCAAATCGGTTTCCAACTATTATTCTCAATTAGGGAAGCCTGGAGAAAAAAAGAAGATCGAGCCACTGGCCTCAATATATATCTATATACATAGAGAGAGATGTCTAAATATAATGCATTGACAATTATGTAGGTGTTATTATGGATTGGTCCCAAATCCTTGTGCTTCTAAGATACAACTTTTTTTTTCTCAAATGGGAAATTCTTTTAGTTCACACACACGCCTCATGTTCCTTCCAATTGTGTAAGGAATATCCATTATCAAGCTCCTCTCTCAAATTCTAGCATTGAATACACATGCTCACCCAGGAAAGAACATATTGGGAACAGGTGGAAATCACGAACTAAATATCGTACAAATTTCCCTCTCGAGTTCAATTCTCATAAACTACCATGCATTTGGAGGGGACATTTTTTTTATAGTCTCCAAACAGTACTATTGTATTTCCATATCTTTCGTTTTTATGAATGTTCGAATGTTTATAAAATTTAAAATAGTCTTGAACATAAGCACTATTGTTTATTGCACTAAGAGATGCCTTATTATTGGACAAAAGTATGTGAGAGTACTTAATATAAGAGTAGGATATGTATATATCCTTTTCCTCAATATTTCAATATGAAATATATATCCCAACTCCTCCATTGTCGACCTACCAAAACATTTCTTTCCTCCCCACCTATTTTCCTCAATATTGTAATTCAAGCTCTCTTTGGAAAACTTGAAATTAAAACTAGTTATGCCATGATTGAATTTGACTTGGATTTCCCCCATATGCTTCAATGGTGCTTTCAAACCTTTTCTCTATATTGTCATATCATATGGTATGATTCCACCGTCACTCAAATAATTAGGGTCTAAAAGGATTTTTTGTGGCACGTTTCTCGATATATGAGAATCTCTTCATAATTCATATATAAAGCGGATTTGGTTTGAAATTTTTTTTCGACTCTATCAATATAAATCCTTCGGAAAGTTTTGTAGCGCCTTCAACGGATCTCAGTGTTAACTCAATAGTGTTAACTCCAATAAAATTTTATAATTACCTGAATTGACTTGAAAATGTTGATGATTTTGCAATCACTAATTAAGGATGGCACTTATCAAAAATGGGGAAATGATGTGCAAGTGTGTGTGGCGATGATTGATGCAATGCAAGTTGTTGGTCCCAGTAATAAAATCGACCCGCTTGTTTGTCGGTAAAAATAATGTTAATTCATCAATAAAAATAATGTTTATTATAATATACTATAAATCAAATTCCTGCATTGCATGGTCTTAAAAATGACTTTAATGACTTATAGAGATAAACCCAGCACCAGGATATATATAGTGGAGAAGGTAGGTTAAAATGAGGAGAAGCTATAGCTCCTCTCAAATTTGTAATATAAGTAAAATTATATGTAAATTCATAAGAAATTGATAAGTTAGGAGAGTTTTTTTTATGTTAATGAAGCCCACAAAAATATAGCTCTTCTCAAATTTGTAATATAGCTCCTAATTTATGCGAGTGAAGCCCACAAAAATATAATCCCACTCTAAAAAAAGATCTTAGCCCCCACCCCTAAATAGTAAATATCACAGTTCAAGTCAACCTCTCATTCGCCACTGAATATATAGCTGCTATTTCCAAAGATCAAGCAAAAAAAAAAAAAAAAAGTTAACTGCTTTTAATCTTTATTGACTTCACTCGCATAAATTATTTTGTGGGGTTCTTTTCTTTTACCTATATTTTTTTGGCGTTCTTTAACCTCCTTTACTTTTCGTCTTGGTCCCATTTTTCCCCAAACCCTATATTTTAATAATATAATATATTCCAAAAAATTTGCTTTCCTATTACGATACAAATAAACACTATCACGATACAAATAACACTAGCATGTCCCTGGCCATTTGACCGGAGAAAGGTGAGGTATGAAATTTGATAATGTAATAGGGTGTATAGCTTATTGTTGTATTTTTTTTTAAACACGTGATAAAAATAGTGAATTTTAGTAGAAAAGAGACATGAATAAAGCGACGAATCAAAAATCAGCCTTATAAACCAAAATCAAGTACTTGTTACCTTGTGAAACAATATTGTTTCTGGTAATATGATGAGGTGGAGTAAGTTCTAGAGTAACCGAATTCTAGAAAATCGAATAAAAAATCGCCTATCCCGCCGGTTTTTCTGGAAATGAGCATCTCACAATCGTTGCTAGCTTTTATTCGGCCCGTTGGCCGATTAATTTGCTTTATAAAACTTTCATCTTGTCATCATTGTGCTTTCTGGTTTTTTGCCAAGCCATGATAAAATCTAAAGAAATCAAGAATGAACAACACGATTTGGGATAGGAACCATCGTTCCTGTATCCCTAGAAAATGGTGGTAAACACGGACTCACCTGCCAAACTGGTTTGGATTGAGATTTTTATCGGGTATCAGGGAACCATGTGATTATAAATTAGACTTGATCAAAACGGGCCAAAACTTGAAATTCAGCCTGTTTTACCGACCCATGCCAAACTCTAATTATTCTTTACTTTTAAACTTTCTATTTGAAAATAAATAATAATGAAAGAAAAGAGATGATTGCAATTCGCCATTTGCACATCACTGATTCGGGAATAAAACTATAGAATTTCGAAAGGAAACTGAAAATGTTTAGGATCGTTTTAATGTTAAAAATAACCAAATAGATCTTTCTGTTTAGTTTTTTACTAACAAATACCAAACGATTTCCTATAATATACACTATAATTTAATCATTATGATATCAAATAATTACATAATATATATTTGAAATGATAAAAATTGGACTAATTGGGTTGGTCGAGGTTGAACCATTGAATAACTTTAAAATACATTATATTTTAGCCACTAAGATATAAAATAATAGCATAATATATATTATGTTAGAGAAAATAGCTTGTTTTAGAATGGCAAACCCATGATGTTCATTTGTTTTACTTGATGGGCAAATCCCGTGTAGGTCAGGCTCATTCAACTCTTTTATTTTATGATTTGCGGTTAGCCCATTAGAATCCATGCATTAGTTTATCGTTAAATTTTTTTTCTTTTTAACAATAAAAAGGAGTATTGTTTTTTGCCTTTTCATATATAGATTTTACCACCACGGAGAAATAAAAGGACTTAAAGAAAAATATTGACACTTCTGGACTCGTTTAAATCTGATGTGTACGGTAAGTTGGCCCGTTCCATAGAGGGGAAAAAAATTTGACACTCTTTATTCTATCCTTCCTACAAACGCTCCTGGAGCAGGGAATTTGAAATGAGGGAAGAGTTTTTTCCTCTCTGCGATTATATGTTTTTAATTTAAAAAGATACAACAAATGTACTTAGAGTGATTGGTTACGATCTTTGCTTTTCTTTAAAGTTGTCATGGTTCGAATCATTGTAAGTGTCTTTTTAATGAATAAAAAAAGTAATTGTGAATACCAAAATGTCCTTCCTACTTTCACGCTGGATGCAGGAAATTTAGAATGAGACTTCAAGTTTTCTCATTTGACTTTTATTTATTGTATAGATTTGTCTTTAAAACCGAGTTTTGTAGTTGTTTTAGTGTAAGTCCAAACTAGCTTGGGAATCTTGTAGAATGTCTAAACAGTTTTGTAGTTGTTTTAGTGTAAGTCCAAACTGGCTTGGGAATCTTGTAGAATGTCTAAACAGTGTTTGAATGATGCAAGCCACATATATAAAAATCTTAGTCAAATGAAGTAAACATTCTTAATTCTTTGGAAAGAAACCTTCTGAAATTTTTAAAAATTGAAAGCGGGGCAAGCTGTAGCAAGTACACGTGCATTGCAGAGTTTATTTAACTTGTTGTAACCTATTTTCTATAGGGGAAAATCGGATAAATGACAAGTTTGGTCACTGATATTACTAAAAAAGTTCATGTTTGGTCATTAAAAATATTTAATTTATTTCGTGGTCACTAACTTTAGTTGGTCAATCTCCGTCCAACTTCGTTAACTTTGTCTGATGTGCAGTCAACTCTCAAAGTTGACTGTTAAATGTATGACGTGAAAAATAAAAAATAAAATTAATTTTAAAGATTCTACCTCATTATCACTACTATTAAAAATAAATAAAAAATAAAAAATATTCATATTAAATTCCTAAACCTAAGCAGCGCTGATTGTCCACCGACTGAGGTGCTGGAGGGTCCAGATCACTTGATCATATTCAGTGGAACATTAGTCTCTCATATCTAACTGCTGATCTATCCAACTTGGGAGGTAAAGCTAGTAGTAACATTATGATAAAGAATCTTCTAGTGGAACAATCAGATCATGGTAACTAAAAGGTTTGATTTTTGATATTGTGGTTTCGAAGAAGAAGAAGTTGCCGCCGCCACAGCTGCGGCAGTGGGAGTTATCAAACTAGCTGAGCTAAGGTTAAGCAGAAGAAGAAAAATGCGACACAGAAATGGGAAACGCGCAAGAGAAGCATCTGCTCTCTGCCTTTGATTTATATATGTAAACAGAACTGTGTTCTTCACGTTACAAACTCAGAAGAAGAAAAGATAAACAGAAATTCAAATTGACAGTAAAGTAAACGACACGTGCCTCTCCTCTATTCGCTACGGTAACAGTCCACTCAATGGTAAAACCCGAGACTCCACAAACGACACCGCTTTGCCTCTTCGTTCAAGTTGAGTGGAGGGAACCAGAAACGAAACGTTTCTGGGTGAGATTTCTTCTTCATTCAACTCTGCAGAGCTTCCTTCATTTCTGCAGACCATCATCTTCTTCTGATTCACTTGATACTCCCCCACAAGCTGGCGAGTAAGCATTGCACACTCCCAGCTTGTCCAACAAGAACTTCAATCTATAACGAGTCATGCCTTTGGTGAACAAATCTGCAACTTGGTCATCAGTCCTTACATGGAACCGTTTGATCAAACCAGACTTCAACCTTTCTCTTGTAACATGGCAATCAATCTCAATATGTTTTGTTCTTTCATGAAACACGAGATTTTCAGCAATGTGCATAGCAAATTTGTTGTCACAAAAGAGAGGGATTGGTAAGGGTACCTTAACTCCCATTTCAGTCAAGAGGTTTCTTAACCACTGCACTTCACAAACAACCTGAGCTAAAGCTCTATACTCAGCCTCAGAGGAAGATCTGGAGACTGTAGTCTATTTCTTAGTCTTCCAGATGATCAATGAAGTCCCTAAGAAGGTGCAGTAGCCAGTGAGAGATCTCCTTGAATCTGGACAACTTGCCCAGTCAGCATCACAGTAGCTAGATAGTTCAAGTTTTGAATCTGCCCTGAAAATTAAACCCTTACCAAGAGTTTGTTTTAAGTATCTAATGACTCTGTGTGCTGCTTGTAAATGCTCAACACAAGGGGCAACTTGAAATTGAGCTAGCTGTTGAACATAGGCCACATCAGGCCTTGTAATGGTGAGATAGTGCAGTCTTCCTATCAGTCTTCTGTAGACTCCAGGATCTGCCATCAACTCTCCTTGATCTACAGAAAGCTTAACATTGCAATCAACAGGTGACAAGCAACCTTTTGCTTCTACAAAACCCGTATCATCAAGCAATTCCAAACAATATTTCCTTTGACTGACTGAGATCCCCTTGTGATCTCTAATGACTTCCAGTCCCAGGAGATAACTCAATTGACCAAGGTCTTTAACCTTGAATTCTTTACTCAGAAACTTCTTCAATTGTTCTATGTCCCCAAGATAACTCCCAGCAATAAGAATGTCATCAACATAAACAAGAACCACCACCACTCTTCCCTGAATCCATCTCACAAACATTGAGTAATCAGAGGCTATTTGTGAATAACCATTTTTCAACAATGCACTGGTGAGCTTTGCAAACCACTGTCTGCTTGCCTGTTTCGGGTGATATAAGGATTTCTTAAGCTTAAAAACAAGACCTGAATCCCTAGGAACATCAATTCCAGGTGGAATTTCCAAATACACTTCCTCCTCCAAGTCTCCATGAAGAAAGGCATTGGACACATCCATCTGGTGAATGTGCCAATCCTTAGAGACAACCACTGCTAACAGAATTTTGACTGAATTAATCTTAGCTACTGGGGAATAGGTGTCAAGAAAATCAATCCCATAGATCTGAGTATAACCCTTAGCAACTAGCCTGGCTTTGAACCTTTCAATTGTACCATCATACCTATATTTCACCTTAAACACCCACTTTGCACCTATAGGTTTCTTCCCTGGTGGTAGCTTGACCAATTCCCATGTTTGATTTTCATACAAGGCATAGATTTCCTCTTTACAGGCTTGATTCCATCTAGGATCCTTACAAGCCTCAGCATAAGATGAGGGCTCTTGTATGGACAAAACACTAAGAGCAAAAGCTCTTTGCGAAGCAGACAAATGATCATAGCCAACCTGATGAAAAATGTGGTGCTTAGAGGTTGATGCAGCCATGCTGACATGATAGTCTTTATGCCAAACTGGTACAGTACGAGTTCTACTTGACTTTCTTAAAAATTTAGCTTCATCTGTGTCATTCTACTCAGGAAACATTTCAATCTCACTATCCTCCCCCTCAGAATGCAAACTGACTGCATGAGGAATTTCCTCAGAGACAACAGGCAGTGTGGAAGAGGTAGAAGGAATAGTAGAAAAAGTCCATGCTGACATGATAGTCTTTATGCCTAACTGGTACAGTACGAGTTCTACTTGACTTTCTTAAAAATTTAGCTTCATCTGTGTCATTCTACTTAGGAAACACTTCAATCTCACTATCCTCCCCCTCAAAATGCAAACTGATTGCATGAGGAATTTCCTCAGAGACAACAGGCAGTGTGGAAGAGGTAGAAGGAATAGTAGAAGAAGTAGAAGGTGTGGTAGAGTTTGTAGGCTGAAGTGGAGATGAAGGTGGGGAATTAGGAAGAATTGGTGAAACAGATGGAGTTGGTGAAGTAGAAGAGAAATGTGGTAGGATGGATTCTGTAGTCATGGGGAAAGATGAATCGGGAGTAGAAATAGAAGAAGGAGTAGAGTGAAAGGGGAGAATAGATTCATAGAAAATCACATCTCTGGAAACAAAGAAAGAGTGTGAATTGATATCAAAAAGCTTGAAGCCTTTAATCCCTGCAGGAAAACCAAGGAATATACATTGCCTGGCCCTGAAATCAAATTTGGTTCTGTCCCTATGCAAAGAAGAAGCATAACAAAGGGATCCAAAAACCTTTAAGCCATTCAGGTTTGGAGCTTTACCATACAAAAGCTCATACGGGGACTTGTTCTCAAGAACAGTAGAAGGGAGTCTGTTAATCAAATACACAACATGCAACACAATGTCACTCCAGAACTTAAGAGGATTGCCAGATTGAAATCTAAGAGCTCTTGCTACATTTAGAATATGTTGGTGCTTCCTTTCAACCCTGTCATTCTGTTCTGGAGTCTCCACACAGGACTGTTGATGTTCAATTCCCTTATCACTATAAAATTCAGCCATGTGAAACTCAAAACCCTGATCACTTCTGATAACTTTAACAGACATAGAAAACTGCATTTCAACCATAGTGCAAAAAGATTGCAACAAAGGACCAGTTTCAGACTTCAGTTTCATTAAGAAAACCCAAATAGCCATTGTAAAGTCATCCACAATTGTTAAGAAATAGGAAAAACCTTCATGTGACTTGACAGCCAATGGCCCCCATATGTCAACATGAATCAATCCAAAAGCATCTACTGGTGCTTACAGGGAAAGAAAGCCTCTTATGTTTGGCATAATGACAAATTTGACAATGGAAAACTACATCTCTATTACAAGGTAATGTCTGTTTCTCCTTGTCTTTGCCTGGGTGCCCTAGTATCCAGTGACAGAGGTGGAAATTTTGAGGTTGAAAGTTGTAGGTAAAAGCTGCTTGAGGGGTAGAAAGAAGAGGTTCTTTGGCCTTTGTGTGCAATTGGTATAATCCTCTACTCTTCCTTGCCAAACCAGTCCTTTTCTGGGTTACCAGGTCCTGAATTTGACAAGCATCAGATTCAAAGTGTAAGGATATAGGACTATAGGTTGATCATTTATCAGTTTACTTACTGAGATGAGGTTGAAAGTGAAGCTTGGCACAAGGAGAATATTGTCTAAGTTAAGGTCTGTGGATATTTTAACCTTTCCTATGTGACTAACTACAACCTTAGTCTCATTAGGTAGATAGACAAACTGATCTTTAACTGCTAGGGCTTCAGTAAATAAGGCAATGTTACAGGCAATGTGATCAGATGCCCCAGTATCCAGAATCCAAGTACGAGCAAGATGCTCTGCCTTATGTTGCATAAAAGATGAGAGAATGAACTTACCAGCATGATTTGGAAACTGAGATATGCTATGAGCAATAGAGAAAGCCAAGTGGTTAACTGAAGGTGATGCTGGTGGTGAGGGACTAAGAGAGGGCACTGATTGCAGCAGATACCTCAACTTGTTGAGTTCTTCAGGTGAAAAATGAAGATTATCCTTTGAGGAAACACTTCTAGAGTCTGAGCTATGTTTAGAGTCTGAACCAGTTGAATCACCCTCATTGGAGTGCTCTCCTTGAGAAACAGCAGCAGCTACACCCCCAGCCATCCTGAGTTTTTTGTTTTTCAGCTTCCAGCATTCTTCTTTAACATGACCATTGATGACTCGGTATTTGCACATGTTTTCCCCTTTGTTTCTTGATTGTTTGAGCTTGAATTATCGTGTCTTTGGCCTATTTTACGCTAGGTTGTGTTCCTTTGTCACATTTCAGGTCCTAGCACATAAAGTGAAGCATAGGCGCAAGTTTCAAGTCAATCAGAGATCAATTGACGATTCGGGAGAAGAAACTCAGGTATGACCTGAAGAAGAATGGATTTCTACCTCACTTTATGGACAAATAATCATGCAAGCTTGTCATTAAAAGAAAGAGGACGAGACTACGAGCGTCTGGGATCAAACGGCGACTGATTCGGAGTCCGGACGAGGGAGAAACGAAGCATTAAACAGAGGCTGAGCAAGCCACACGGGCACAACCCACACGGCCGTGTGACCTGGCCATGTGGCCGTGTGGAAATCACCGAGCCTTCACACGGGCAGCTGGGAAAGCCACACGGCCGTGTGGCCTGGCCGTGTGAGTCGGGAATTGCTGTTTAAAACCCGATTTTCAGCAAAAGGAAAGGGGGAGAGCTGGGTTTTGGATCCCAAACACCCAAGGGACGAACCCTAGAGAGAGAGCGACTTGGGAACATTCTTGGAGCTATTTTGGAGGATTTCTTCGCCATTGGAGCTCGGGAATCAAGCTTGGAGATGGAGATTGAAGATCTAGATCAGATTTCTGCAGTCTCTCTCTTCTCTATGGAGTAACTTCCCTTCACTTAGGTTTTGAGGAGCCCTAGTTCCATAAGTTAGGATCTTTCTTGTATGAAGTTTTGGATGCTATATTGTTTGATTATAATCGAATGATGCATGTTTATTGAGTCAATTGAAGTCTGATCAACTTTTCCTGATTTCTGCTGCAACCTGAGATAGATAGAATCTGATTAGGTTGTTAGAGCCTCATCATTCGGTAGTAGGAGATTGGCTATACGAGAGTTAGTCAGTTTACTGCTTTGTACTGGAATCCAATTCTAGTAGTGGAGTTCTATGCTTATTGCTTCAGCTTTCTATCCCGGTGAAGACTAGTCGTCTGCCGGATAGTTAGACTGAGAGGGCTTGGTCAGCTTAAGAGATTCCAAGCTACTGTCGAATCTTCCGCAGTTTAATCAACAGTAAAACAACCAAAAGGAATTACAACTTGGACCTAATTGAGGAGCTAGGGGGAATCATACCTAAGTGAGTTCCCAAACTGTAATTAGTAGTTTTAATTAGTTTAGTTAATCAATCCTTAATCTAGTTTGCTAGATAATGAACTGAAGCTGAGTAATAGTAACTTTAGAGACCCGTGGATTCGATATTTATTACTTGTGCCACTATACTGCAGTCCCTTTCATTGGTTACACTTGGCCATTGTTAGGTGTTGTGTTTTAGAGCATCAAGTTTTTGGCGCCGTTGCCGGGGACTTTCTAGATTATTAGGAAAGGCAGAAGTTTGTTACTTTAGCGTTTTTCTTTTCTTTTCCACCCTTGCTTTTCACTTGGGTGTTTTTGTTTTTGTTGGTGCAGATCTGAATCATGGATCCTAATGGCTTCTCCAATCATTGGGGGTATCCACCACCATCCGGGTGGTATTACCCCGCGACTCCCTACAGCAATCAAGGAGGAGAAGACTATGGATTCGGGTTCCAGTACCAACCCCCTTTCTACGGAGAACAACCAGACCCCTGGGCATATCAAGAACAACCTCATTACCAAGAAGACTTTCTCCCACAACCAGAAGGGCCATCGGAGCTGGAGTTACCCATGGCGGCCTTCACGGGCCACTCTGCAGAGCCATGCTACACTTCACTGGAGGATCCGAACGAACAATTAAGGCTTCTCGTGGAGCAGTTTGCTCGAGACACTGAGAAATCATGCTCCAAGATGGATATTCAAATCAAATCCCTTGCCACTTCCGATCCCTCATTTCTCCATGATATGGAAGAGACTGTTCAGCGCTCAGCAAAGCAAACAGAGTGGGTGAAGCAAGTTTGCTCACATCTTGCTCAAGATCACCTTTCTGCTGCCACGCTAGAAGAGGTGGAGGATGAAAAAGGCTATGGGAGCGTTGAGGAGCATACAGAATTTATCACAGAGAACTCCCATGATAACCATGATCAGGAAAGTCCTTTGGTTGCAGACCACACCTTTCCTCATTTATGCTCTAACATGCTGGGCCCGTGCGAGGAGATGCAAGATGATCCCATTGAAGAAATTGCTTGGCGACTTGCTCTCCAATCTGTTCTAGAAGAAGAAGAGCGAGCAAGGATGAGGAAAAAAGTTGTGGATGATGAGGAAGAAAGAAAAGAAGAGGTGGTTCTTGATCTTTTCCCAGGGGAGAGACCACATTTTGAAGAAGGAAGGGGGGTTGAGGAAGCAATTGGCGTCCAGGCTGAGGATGAAGTTGAGGTGGAAGTGGCATACACCGGCCATGAGTTGCAAGTAATATCCCCACCAAACTTTGAGGAACTGTTTGGCAAGGACCCATTTGCAGTGTCTCTTTGCCAGACCAAGGCCACATCGACATCGGTCCCTCTTGGTGGACGCGATGGTGATCGGTCGATGCTGTCATATCTGGTTTGGGGCAATGAGACGAGAGAAGAGAAGAAGAGGTCTCGAGGGTGGAGACTTCATCTGCATCAAGTACATGAGCCTTCATCACCTGCCACACCACATGCTCGTGACTTGAGACTCCACCTCATCGACGAGAACCTCAACTTCAAGGAGGTTCTAGCATGGACCGAAACTTAGGAGCCATCGTCCGGCTCACAACGTGAAAGAAGCGCTTGTTGGGAGGCAACCCAACCAGTCGATTTGCATTTCTTTCTCTATTTCTCCTCGGTTGAGTCAGTTTTGTTATTTGATTTTAGAGTCAATAACTCAACCTTTGTGAGATTTTGTGTGGTGTTTGTGTTCTGATTACTCTCTCTTTCTGGAATGCACTGCCTGACCCATACATCATCATTCACCCTTGATCTGGTAACTTCGTTCTACCCTCCTTATCTTTCCTCCATTGAGGACAATGTCGTGCTTAAGTGTGGGGGGGGGGGGGTGTTCGATTATGTATGCGGGTGAATGTTTGGCTATTTGTGTGCTTGGAGCCTAGTTCACTGTCCAAATTTTTAAATTTGAGGGCTCCAAGTATGTGTTTCCTTGCAAATTGCCTGCTCAGTATGCTTTGAATTGACAGTCTCTATAGTAATGTGCAACCTAGGGAGGTAGTGTAGCACTATGGAGGATGTTGAAGTATAAGATTTTTCCTATCTAGCTCTCTGTTGTGCCAGTTGATTTTGTGAATTAGTGGAGCTAAGACCGTTGAATTCATGTGGTAATGGTGACTCTGTTTGGATTATGTTATGGACTCGTGTATCGAACAGGGTGCTCATATGGAAAATGGGAAGCAGTTGGTCCTCCATGTCAAAATCATTAAATCTTAAACATGGGGTAAGCCCAACGTGTGTGGCACCGTTCATTGCACAAAATCGGGTTTTGGAAGAGATTTTAGTGATCCTTAGTGGGTTACTCCTACAAGGTGAAGCTAAGTTGTCTCTAGTACAAGTAAAACTTCCACCCGTTGAAAGGTTTGCCTACTTGAGGATGTGTTTTTAAGGGCACGGATAGAGCTTCCGACCCCCCTTAATTTCATTGACCCTCCACACGAGTTGAGGAAAAGGAGTTAAAAGAAGTACTCTGGCGAGCTACAGATGTACAGAAATTGCTCTTGCTCGACTAATAAGGGTCGATTGATGCTCTAAAACACAACACCTAACAATGGCCAAGAGTAACCAATGAAAGGGACTGCAGTATAGTGGCACAAGTAATAAATATCGAATCCACGGGTCTCTAGAGTTACTATTACTCAGCTTCAGTTCATTATCTAGCAAACTAGATTAAGGATTGATTAACTAAACTACTCTACTAACTAAACTAAGTAAAACTACTAATTACAGTTTGGGAACTCACTAAGGTATGATTCCCCCTAGCTCCTCAATTAGGTCCAAGTTGTAATTCCTTTTGGTTGTTTTACTGTTGATTAAACTGCGGAAGATCCGACAGTAGCTTGGAATCTCTTAAGCTGACCAAGCCCTCTCAGTCTAACTATCCGGCAGACGACTAGTCTTCACAGGGATAGAAAGCTGAAGCAATAAGCATAGAACTCCACTACTAGAATTGGATTCCAGTACAAAGCAGTAAACTGACTAACTCTTGTATAGCCAATCTCCTACTACCGAATGATGAGGCTCTAACAACCTAATCAGATTCTATCTATCTCAGGTTGCAGCAGAAATCAGGAAAAGTTGATCAGACTTCAATTGACTCAATAAACATGCATCATTCGATTATAATCAAACAATATAGCATCCAAAACTTCATACAAGAAAGATCCTAACTCATGGAACTAGGGCTCCTCAAAACCTAAGTGAAGGGAAGTTACTCCATAGAGAAGAGAGAGACTGCAGAAATCTGATCTAGATCTTCAATCTCCATCTCCAAGCTTGATTCCCGAGCTCCAATGGCGAAGAAATCCTCCAAAATAGCTCCAAGAATGTTCCCAAGTCGCTCTCTCTCTAGGGTTCGTCCCTTGGGTGTTTGGGATCCAAAACCCAGCTCTCCCCCTTTCCTTTTGCTGAAAATCGGGTTTTAAACAGCAATTCCCGACTCACACGGCCAGGCAACACGGCCGTGTGGCTTTCCCAGCTGCCCGTGTGAAGGCTCGGTGATTTCCACACGGCCACATGGCCAGGTCACACGGCCGTGTGGGTTGTGCCCGTGTGGCTTGCTCAGCCTCTGTTTAATGCTTCGTTTCTCCCTCGTCCGAACTCCGAATCAGTCGCCGTTTGATACCAGACGCTCGTAGTCTCGTCCTCTTTCTTTGCATGACAAGCTTGCATGATTCTTTGTCCATAAAGTGATGTAGAAATCCATTCTTCTTCAGGTCATACCCAAGTTTCTTCTCCCGAATCGTCAATTGATCTCTGATTGACTTGAAACTTGCGCCTATGCTTCACTTTATGTGCTAGGACCTGAAATGTGACAAAGGAACACAACCTAGCATAAAATAGGCCAAAGACACAATAATTCAAGCTCAAACAATCAAGAAACAAAAGGGATAACATGTGCAAATACCGAGTCATCAATGGTCATGTTAAAGAAGAATGCTGGAAGCTGAAAAACAAAAAACTCAGGATGGCTGGGGGTGTAGCTGCTGCTGTTTCTCAAGGAGAGCACTCCAATGAGGGTGATTCAACTGGTTCAGACTCTAAACATAGCTCAGACTCTAGAAGTGTTTCCTCAAAGGATAATCTTCATTTTTCACCTGAAGAACTCAACAAGTTGAGGTATCTGCTGCAATCAGTTCCCTCTCTTAGTCCCTCACCACCAGCATCACCTTCAGTTAACCACTTGGCTTTCTCTATTGCTCATAGCATATCTCAGTTTCCAAATCATGCTGGTAAGTTCATTCTCTCATCTTTTATGCAACATAAGGCAGAGCATCTTGCTCGTACTTGGATTCTGGATACTGGGGCATCTGATCACATTGCCTGTAACATTGCCTTATTTACTGAAGCCCTAGCAGTTAAAGATCAGTTTGTCTATCTACCTAATGAGACTAAGGTTGTAGTTAGTCACATAGGAAAGGTTAAAATATCCACAGACCTTAACTTAGACAATATTCTCCTTGTGCCAAGCTTCACTTTCAACCTCATCTCAGTAAGTAAACTGATAAATGATCAACCTATAGTCCTATATCCTTACACTTTGAAGCTGATGCTTGTCAAATTCAGGACCTGGTGACCCAGAAAAGGACTGGTTTGGCAAGGAAGAGTAGAGGATTATACCAATTGCACACAAAGTCCAAAGAACCTCTTCTTTCTACCCCTCAAGCAGCTTTTACCTACAACTTTCAACCTCAAAATTTCCACCTCTGTCACTGGATACTAGGGCACCCAGGAAAAGACAAGGAGAAACAGACATTACCTTGTAATAGAGATGTATTTTTCCATTGTCAAATTTGTCATTATGCCAAACATAAGAGGCTTTCTTTCCCTGTAAGCACCAGTAGATGCTTTTGGATTGATTCATGTTGACATATGGGGGCCATTGGCTGTCAAGTCACATGAAGGTTTTTCCTATTTCTTAACAATTGTGGATGACTTTACAAGGGCTGTTTGGGTTTTCTTAATGAAACTGAAGTCTGAAACTGGTCCTTTGTTGCAATCTTTTTGCACTATGGTTGAAATGCAGTTTTCTAAGTCTGTTAAAGTTATCAGAAGTGATCAGGGTTTTGAGTTTCACATGGCTGAATTTTATAGTGATAAGGGAATTGAACATCAACAGTCCTGTGTGGAGACTCCAGAACAGAATGACAGGGTTGAAAGGAAGCACCAACATATTCTAAATGTAGCAAGAGCTCTTAGATTTCAATCTGGCAATCCTCTTAAGTTCTGGAGTGACATTGTGTTGCATGTTGTGTATTTGATTAAAAGACTCCCTTCTACTGTTCTTGAGAACAAGTCCCCCTATGAGCTTTTGTATGGTAAAGCTCCAAACCTGAATGGCTTAAAGGTTTTTGGATCCCTTTGTTATGCTTCTTCTTTGCATAGGGACATAACCAAATTTGATTCCAGGGCCAGGTAATGTATATTCCTTGGTTTTCCTGCAGGGATTAAAGGCTTCAAGCTTTTTTATATCAATTCACACTCTTTCTTTGTTTCCAGAGATGTGATTTTCTATGAATCTATTCTCCCCTTTCACTCTACTCCTTCTTCTATTTCTACTCCCGATTCATCTTTCCCCATGACTACAGAATCCATCCTACCACATTTCTCTTCTACTTCACCAACTCCACCTGTTTCACCAATTCTTCCTAATGCCCCACCTTCATCTCCACTTCAGCCTACAAACTCTACCACACCTTCTACTTCTTCTACTATTCCTTCTACCTCTTCCACACTGCCTGTTGTCTCTGAGGAAATTCCTCATGCAATCAGTTTGCATTCTGAGGGGGAGGATAGTGAGATTGAAGTGTTTCCTGAGTAGAATGACACAGATGAAGCTAAATTTTTAAGAAAGTCAAGTAGAACTCGTACTGTACCAGTTAGGCATAAAGACTATCATGTCAGCATGGACTTCTTCTACTATTCCTTCTACCTCTTCCACACTGCCTGTTGTCTCTGAGGAAATTCCTCATGCAGTTAGTTGGCATAAAGACTATCATGTCAGCATGGCTGCATCAACCTCTAAGCACCACATTTGTCATCAGGTTGGCTATGATCATTTGTCTACTTCGCAAAGATCTTTTGCTCTTAGTGTTTTGTCCATACAAGAGCCCTCATCTTATGCTGAGGCTTGTAAGGATCCTAGATGGAATCAAGCCTGTAAAGAGGAAATCTATGCCTTGTATGAAAATCAAACATGGGAATTGGTCAAGCTACCACCAGGGAAGAAACCTATAGGTGCAAAGTGGGTGTTTAAGGTGAAATATAGGTATGATGGTACAATTGAAAGGTTCAAAGCCAGGCTAGTTGCTAAGGGTTATACTCAGATCTATGGGATTGATTTTCTTGACACCTATTCCCCAGTAGCTAAGATTAATTCAGTCAAAATTCTGTTAGCAGTGGTTGTCTCTAAGGATTGGCACATTCACCAGATGGATGTGTCCAATGCCTTTCTTCATGGAGACTTGGAGGAGGAAGTGTATTTGGAAATTCCACCTGGAATTGATGTTCCTAGGGATTCAGGTCTTGTTTTTAAGCTTAAGAAATCCTTATATCACCCGAAACAGGCAAGCAGACAGTGGTTTGCAAAGCTCACCAGTGCATTGTTGAAAAATGGTTATTCACAAATAGCCTCTGATTACTCAATGTTTGTGAGATGGATTCAGGGAAGAGTGGTGGTGGTTCTTGTTTATGTTGATGACATTCTTATTGCTGGGAGTTATCTTGGGGACATAGAACAATTGAAGAAGTTTCTGAGTAAAGAATTCAAGGTTAAAGACCTTGGTCAATTGAGTTATCTCCTGGGACTGGAAGTCATTAGAGATCACAAGGGGATCTCAGTCAGTCAAAGGAAATATTGTTTGGAATTGCTTGATGATACGGGTTTTGTAGAAGCAAAAGGTTGCTTGTCACCTGTTGATTGCAATGTTAAGCTTTCTGTAGATCAAGGAGAGTTGATGGCAGATCCTGGAGTCTACAGAAGACTGATAGGAAGACTGCACTATCTCACCATTACAAGGCCTGATGTGGCCTATGTTCAACAGCTAGCTCAATTTCAAGTTGCCCCTTGTGTTGAGCATTTACAAGCAGCACACAGAGTCATTAGATACTTAAAACAAACTCTTGGTAAGGGTTTAATTTTCAGGGCAGATTCAAAACTTGAACTATCTAGCTACTGTGATGCTGACTGGGCAAGTTGTCCAGATTCAAGGAGATCTCTCACTGGCTACTGCACCTTCTTAGGGACTTCATTGATCATCTGGAAGACTAAGAAATAGACTACAGTCTCCAGATCTTCCTCTGAGGCTGAGTATAGAGCTTTAGCTCAGGTTGTTTGTGAAGTGCAGTGGTTAAGAAACCTCTTGACTGAAATGGGAGTTAAGGTACCCTTACCAATCCCTCTCTTTTGTGACAACAAATTTGCTATGCACATTGCTGAAAATCTCGTGTTTCATGAAAGAACAAAACATATTGAGATTGATTGCCATGTTACAAGAGAAAGGTTGAAGTCTGGTTTGATCAAACGGTTCCATGTAAGGACTGATGACCAAGTTGCAGATTTGTTCACCAAAGGCATGACTCGTTATAGATTGAAGTTCTTGTTGGACAAGCTGGGAGTGTGCAATGCTTACTCGCCAGCTTGTGGGGGAGTATCAAGTGAATCAGAAGAAGATGATGGTCTGCAGAAATGAAGGAAGCTCTGCAGAGTTGAATGAAGAAGAAATCTCACCCAGAAACGTTTTGGTTCTGGTTCCCTCCACTGAACTTGAACGAAGAGGCAAAGCAGTGTCGTTTGTGGAGTCTCGGGTTTTACCATTGAGTGGACTGTTACCGTAGCGAATAGAGGAGAGGCACGTGTCGTTTACTTTACTGTCAATTTGAATTTCTGTTTATCTTTTCTTCTTCTGAGTTTGTAACGTGAAGAACACAGTTCTGTTTACATATATAAATCAAAGGCAGAGAGCAGATGCTTCTCTTGCGCGTTTCCCATTTCTGTGTCGCATTTTTCTTCTTCCGCTTAACCTTAGCTCAGCTAGTTTGATAACTCCCACTGCCGCAGCTGTGGCGGCGGCAACTTCTTCTTCTTCGAAACCACAATATCAAAAATCAAACCTTTTAGTTACCATGATCTGATTGTTCCACTAGAAGATTCTTTATCATAATGTTACTACTAGCTTTACCTCCCAAGTTGGATAGATCAGCAGTTAGATATGAGAGACTAATGTTCCACTGAATATGATCAAGTGATCTGGACCCTCCAGCACCTCAGTCGGTGGACAATCAGCGCTGCTTAGGTTTAGGAATTTAATATGAATAATTTTTATTTTTTATTTATTTTTAATAGTAGTGATAATGAAGTAGAATCTTTAAAATTAATTTTATTTTTTATTTTTCACGTCATACATTTAACAGTCAACTTTGAGAGTTGACTGCACATCAGACAAAGTTAACGAAGTTGGACGGAGATTGACCAACTAAAGTTAGTGACCACGAAATAAATTAAATATTTTTAATGACCAAATATGAACTTTTTTAGTAATCTCAGTGACCAAACTTGTCATTTATCCGATTTTCCCCTATAGAAAATAGGTTACAACAAGTTAAATAAACTCTGCAATGCACGTGTACTTGCTACAGCTTGCCCTGCTTTCAATTTTTAAAAATTTCAGAAGGTTTCTTTCCAAAGAATTAAGAATGTTTACTTCTTTAGACTAAGATTTTTATATATGTGGCTTGCATCATTCAAACACTGTTTAGACATTCTACAAGATTCCCAAGCCAGTTTGGACTTACACTAAAACAACTACAAAACTGTTTAGACATTCTACAAGATTCCCAAGCTAGTTTGGACTTACACTAAAACAACTACAAAACTCGGTTTTAAAGACAAATCTATACAATAAATAAAAGCCAAATGAGAAAACTTGAAGTCTCATTCTAAATTTCCTGCATCCAGCGTGAAAGTAGGAAAGACATTTTGGTATTCACAATTACTTTTTTTTATTCATTAAAAAGACACTTATAAGGATTCGAACCATGACAACTTTAAATAATATAACTTAAAGTTAAATCTCAAAATCACTTATAGTTAAATCTCAAGTTTTTTGTGAGATTGTTGGTTTTTTTCTTCTTCCAATTATGTCCCTACCTTTTTATATGTATTGCTTTTTATATTAAAAATGAAGGATAAAAGTGACATGTCACCCAAAGAATAATATAACTTATTTAAATACTACAATAACTATCACAGAAACCAAACAATGAAAACTACAATATACCATTTTTCTTCTACACATTTTCTTCTACATATATATTATTATACATGCATTAATAAAATAGCATCAATTTAATTATTATCAAAACCAAACAACTCCTAAGAGTTAGAATAGCTAACTACTCATTACGTAGGGAAGCTGCAATCAACACAAATGACAACAAATTCGCTCTCACCTCTCTTACTTTCCTTTTCAAAATTCGCTCTCACCTCTCACTAGGAGCAGGCTCCTTTTTTCACACTTCCCATGGCTGCCGCCGGCTCCTTTTGGTGACCGGCGGCAGCTCAATCTCTCTTTTTTTGTACTTTCCTTTGCTCTTCTTGCTCTTGTGTATGCCTTTGTCTTAGGCGATTTTCACCCGTATCTACTAGTTTAGGGTTTCTCTGCCGATGTGGCGTTTCAGATTTCGGAGCGGCTGCTCTTCTTCTCGGATCTTGGATTCTCCTCTCTGGTCTTGCTTTGCTCTGCTTGGGTTTCGGATTTTGCAGCTGAGAGAGTCTCTGATGGAGATCTGGTGCCTGAGTGGCTCCTCCTTGTTGGTGGTTTCTTCAGTTCGGAAGAACTCATTCGCCGTTGTCCCCTGCCGTCGACTGTTGGTGAGCATCTCAGCCTCTTCTCTTCTCGGCTGTTGTGGGTTTCGGTGTCATTTCCGTTTGTCATCGGCAGCTGTTCTGGGTTTCGGTTGAGACTAGGCTGGAGTTCTTTGTCTCTCCATTTCTCGATCCATCCTGCCTTCGGCTTCCTCGACCTTTTTTTCAGCTCTGAGCATCCCGGTTTCAGCCCTGCCCACCGCCATGTAATTGCAACCTTGTGATTCACTGTGATGGATCGTCTTCGAACGATCCCCAGGAGGCGGCTTATGGCGTTGTGTTTTCAAGTGCCATGGTCTTGTCTGTTTTGGGAGAGTTGAAACCCTGCTTTGTTGCTGATCTGTTGGTTGTGGAAGCGTGAGGTTCTTGGGTTCACTTCCTTGGCTCTGGTGATGGCTCTCTGATATTGGTGTAGTTCAATCTTGCCTGCTCTTTCTTGTGGCTGGTTCTCTAGCTTTGCTTTTGTCTTTGATTGTTCTGCCTTTATTAGAGTGTTCATTTTGCTTTTGTTCCATTGATGTAACCGCCTCTTGTAACCGTGATTTCCAGATTGCAATATAAGCACATCCCTTATAAAAATAAAAAAAACACAAATGACAACATAATTGCTGGCGGGTGTTGCTTTCCTAGGGTTCCCCCGACAGCATTGGAATTAAGCCACATTGTACAAATAGGTTTATTGGTTTTAATATTTTTTTTTGGATTTTACTACCTCTATCAAATTTTGGATTTTACTTAATTCTAATAAATAATTAAGTAACTGTGGGGATGATCAATGTCAACCATTTCTCGGTAACAAACATGTTTAGGCTTGTTTTTCGAAATTTCACGTGTTTTGAGGAATTCCCTTTCTTTCTTTATAAATGTATTTACAGGGTTTTTTTAAGGGAAAGAAGCATCTGAATTTTGTCATTGCACTACATTTAGCATTCCCAGAACTATATAATTAAAAAAAATTATTAGTTATTTGTGGTTATCAAGAGAAGGAATCTTTCATTGTTAATAGTCTTCCTAGACAACCATTCACTCCCTTCCTATTTAGGTGTTACTTGTCAGTATGGTTGTTTAAAAAATTCATTAGGTTTAGACTTAGAGATGGGAAATAATGTTAACATTGATGCGTATGAAACTGGGGAAAATTAACATAAGAGAACGGTGTAATATGCATTATCGTAATGGTATCAGAGTTTCAAATAAGGGAGGTGTTTGAAATTAAAAACGTTCCATATAAATGGTTGGCATCATTAGTGAGCATATTGTATGACAAAGTTGTATAAACTTCGAGGCAAAAATATGATTTTTGTTTTGAGATAATGTACGAAGGATACTATAAAATAAACGTTATTTGAGAGGGCGCAAACAAAACGATTGTCGAGCATATTGTATATCCTCAGGCCTCATGAAGAGACAATCTCTCTCAATTGATCGCTTGATTTCTTTTATCAAACTTCTTAATTCAACAAGAGAGAAAATATAGGCGCCCCATATTAGGAATATTTTTCCCAAGCTACGAACATAATTGAAGAGGTCTGACCTCTACCCTACTATGTATCAAACATCTTGACTGAATACTATGCCTAGGAAGCTTTTCCCTTATGTGAAACACAATAATAATATGCTCTTAAACTTGTGGGAACAAAATAATATAAAAACTACCATAATTCCTTCTTTTTTCCCAATCAAACCCCACAAACAAAAGGAAGGGGGAGAATTAAAGTGGGCACATAGGATAGGACCCTGGCCTTAATGCATAATATTTCAACATCCCATGTTCCATCTTAGAGGGGGAATAAATATAATTATAGGGTTCTATTTCCAATAAATTAATGGATTTAGAAAGTAAACCAAAGGGGGGACATTTTGAATCTTTTGTAAGGACTTGGAGACTAGAGAAGCTTTGATTAGATACTGCAAATCAAGCTAGATGGTGACTACTTAATTGGAAATTGAAAGAGGAAAGAAATAGGTGAAAGGTGAATTGCCTTTGGAGTCATCAAATTTTTTAATAAATTTCTTAATGTAAAAGGATTGCTTAGGTGCAATGTCGTCAAAATTCTATTTTAAAACTTACTTAAAACTTTATTTTTTACGTTTTTAGGTCACTAAAATGCTTTTACCCAGAATAGCAATTTGTATAACTAATGTAGTTAAAAGCGCACTTAAACACTTACAATTTTACGCTTCTAGATCATTATAACGCTTCTACATAGAAACACATTTTTGCTTACATTGCTAATCAAACTTTAGCTATAACTACTAGCCCAAATGTCCATCTTAGTATAGCAACCTTGAGAACAAATTGATAACAATTAGCCCATTACCTAAAGAAGATTTTGGCTTTGTTCCTTTCCCATTCAACAACATTTTGTTGTCCTCTTTCTTCTCCTCTCCCCACCTTTTTACCCAAAAATTCCAGAGTTTTTATTCTCTTTGGAAATAAATGCTGAAACGATTGCTGGGATGGTGAAGTATATATATAGGCTCTCCCCAAGGGCTGGATTTTCGGTTAGTTCGGTTATAACCGGTAACCGAAATGTCGGTTACCGGTTAACCGTGGCAACAGAAGTGGATACCGCCAACCGCCCGATGGAAACCATCGGTTAGCTGACAACCGACTGGTCGGTTATCGGTTAGTTGCTCGGTTAACCGCCGGTTAGCAATGGCGGAGAAAAACTCACCCCAGCAAGACGACGATCTCAGTTGAACCACTCTCCTCTCCTTCCTTCCCATGGCGGTCCACTGTGATAGTCTCTTTCTTCAACTGCCTTCCCACTCTCTACATAATCCCATATCCATCCTCGTCCTCTTCATCAAAATCCCATTCCCTCTCAACATCCCATTTCTTCCCTCCCTCAATTGACCATTCTCAAGTTCGATTTCACCCGCCATGGACGCCTCGCCGTTAGCATTGAGAAGACAGACCACCCTCCAGCTACCGGCTTCCCCATTCCAACCCAGGAGAAGAATCAGGGCATGGAAATTGAAGCTCCGCTCCACCTGGCGTTCCGTCAAAACCACCTTCTCCCGCAACCTTCTCAAACGATTCCACCACCACCGCACATCATCCTCCGTCGCCGCCGCCAAAAAACAGAGTCGAATCGCCCCCTCTAATCCCAATAACCCCCAAACAGACGCCGAATCGAAGTGAATCGGCCGGCGGGACATCGTCGTGGCGTGGCGGGGGACGGTGGCGCCGTCGGAGAAAGTAAAGGGAGAGTCCGGGAGAGGGAGGTCTCGCGATGGATGCAGAGCAACAGACAGCAGAGCAGAGGAATGGCGGATTAGGGTTAGGGTGGGTTGGAAGTCAGAAGCGGCGTCTCTTTTACGAGGGTGAGGATGCGCCGGTTAGTCAGTTTAACCGGCGGTTATTACTGTCGGTTAGGCGGTTAACCGGCCTCTCCAACCCTGCTATCGAACACCGCCCGAGATCTTTATTTTCGGTTAGTCGTTAACCGGTAACCACCGGTTATCGGTTTAACCGGCCGGTTAACCAACAACCGATAACCGAATGGCCAGCCCTACTCTCCCCCACCCACATACTTTAATAAAAACCTAATCCAATCACAAAGAAATTTGGTGCTAACTCAAGGTAAACAATGGAGAGTAGATTCCCCCACCTTTTTTTCTACTTTGCACCCATGCATAATTAGTGGAATGGAACTTGTTAATCTCTTTCTAAAGGAATGATAATGTCTTTGTTTGCCATTCACAATTACATATGCATCAATGTTGGAAACAAGGAAATGGATAACTTACTTTTTCTTCCATACAATTCAATTATTGAGATTTATTTTCCCCCCATGAAGCTAGTATAGATGTCAATTCTTACCAATAATCTGGGTGTTTACGAGAGATTAAGAGAATGACTTACATGTTTGTTCGAGTGGAAGTTAATTTATGGGTCAAAATTTATTCTTATATACCGTAATTTGTGCTTAAAGCTAGCATTATATATAAGTGATTATCAAGATTCGAACAATCTTTAGCGAGAAAAACTTTTTGATACTATATATCAAGAACCAACTTCCTTTAATAACTCAGATTTGTTAGGAAATATTAACAATGTGTACTATATCACTTCTCATGGTACATTGCACTTTCACCATCCAACTTTTAATGAATCATGCATCGTTCTCTTACATCTAGTTTCCTAAAAAAACATTACTAATGTTGTCACCGTGCCAGTCCCACGAAGTGATAATCAACAATAATTCTCGTCTTCCAGAAACCAAAATAATGTCGGCTGACCACAACATTAATGAACGACTGTCCAATCTCTGCAACACACCTAATTTTTGAAATTGTCATTTTTGTTGGATTTTAGAGACTACAGATTGCGGATTCGGCCTGAGGCGATCTGGGGCTATTGTCCACAGATGATGAAGTAAATTGATCGTCGATTTGGGCGAAAAACGTTCCGGGGGCATTTTCGTAATATTTTGCGCGCTTTTTCGGATGGCCATTTTCATTGCATTTTGAAGGCTTCGAATCACGAATTCGGTCTGACACTATTCTTCACCGATGGTTAAGTCTATTAAGCAATGATTCGGGCGTATTTGTTTCGGGCACATTTTTGGCATTTTCCAAAAGGGTACCATCACATATTTCGGGCGATTTTTTAATTTGGAATGGTAATTTTTGTTGGATTTTGGAGGCTACTGATTTCGGATTGGGCCTGAGCCTTTTCTGGGGCTATTGTCCACCGATGATGAAGTCCATTAATCGCCAATTTGGGCGAAAAATATTACGGGGGGCATTTTCGTAATTTTTCGCACGCTTTTTCGGAAGGCCATTTTCCTTGGATTTTGAAGGCTTAGGATCACGGATTCGGCATGAGGCTATCCTTCACCGATGGTTAAGTCTATTAAGTATCGATTCGGGCGTATTTGTTCCGGGCCCATTTTTGGCATTTTCCAAAGGGGTACCATCACAGATTTCGGGCTATTTTTTGGAATGGTCATTTTTGTTGGACTTTGGAGGCAACAGATCGCTGATTCGGCCTGAGGCAATCTGGGGCTATTGTCCACTGATGATGAAGTCAATTAATCGCCGATTTGTGCGAAAAATGTTATGGGGGCATTTTTCGTAATTTTCCGCGTGCTTTTTCGGAAGGCCATTTTTCTTGGATTTTGAAGGCATTCAGATGACTGATTCGACCTGAAGCTATCCTTCACTGATGGTTAAGTCTATTAAGCACCGATTCAGGCGTATTTGTTCCGGGCCCATTTTTTGCATTTTTCATAGGGGTGCAATCATAGATTTCATGCGATATTTTGGAATAGTCATTTTTGTTGGATTTTGGAGGCTACATATCGCAGATTCGGCCTAAGGCGATCTGGGGCTATTGTCTACGATGATGAAGTCAATTAATCGCAGATATGGGCGAAAAATGTTTCAGGTGCATTTTCGTAATTTTCTATGCACTTTTTCGAAAAGCCATTTACCTTTGATTTTGAAGGCTTCGGATCACGGATTCTGCATGAGGCTATCCTTCACCGATGGTTAAGTATATTAAGCACCAATTCGGGCGTATTTGTTCCGTACACATTTTTTTGCATTTTTCAAAGGAGTACCATCACATATTTCGGGCGATTTTTTTGGAATGATCATTTTTGTTGGATTTTAGAGGCTACAGATCGCGGATTCGGCCTAAGGCGATTTGGGGCTATTGTCCACTGATGATGAAGTCATTTAATCGCCGATTTGGGCGAAAAATGTTTCGGGTGCATTTTCGTAATTTTCAGCGCTCTTTTTCTGAAGGCGACCATTTTCCTTGGATTTTGAAGGCTTCGGATCACGGATTCACATGAGGCTATCCTTCACTGATGGTTAAGTATATTAAGCACCGATTCGGGCGTATTTGTTCCGGACACATTTTTTTGCATTTTCCAAAGGGGTACCATCACAGATTTCGGGCGATTTTTTGGAATGGTCATTTTTGTTGGATTTTTTAGGCTACAGATCGCGGATTCGGCCTAAGGCGATCTGGGGCTATTGTACACCGATGATGAAGTCAATTAATCGCCGATTTGGGCGAAAAATGTTCCAGGGGCATTTTAGTAATTTTCACTGTGCTTTTTCGGAAGGCCATTTTCTTTGGATTTTGAAAGTTTCGGATCACGGATTCGGCCTGAGGCTATCCTTCATCGACGGTAAAGTCTATTAAGCACTGATTCGGGCATATTTGTTCCGGGCACATTTTTGGCATTTTTCAATGGGTTACCATCACACATTTCAGGCGATTTTTTTGGAATGGTAATTTTTGTTGGATTTTGCAGGATACAGATCTCGGATTCAGCCTGAGGCGATCTGAGGCTATCGCCGATTGGGGTGAAAATATTCCACGGGGCATTTTCTTAATTTTATGCGTGCATTTTCGGAAGGCCATTTTCCTTGGATTTTGAAGGCTTCGGGTCACGGATTCGGCCTGAGGCTATCCTTCACCAATGGTTAAGTCTATTAAGTAGAGATTCGGGCATATTTTTTCTGGGACCATTTTTGGCATTTTCGAAAGGGGAACCATCACAAATTTCGAGCGATTTTTTGGAATGGTCATTTTTGTTGGATTTTGGAGGCTATAGATTGCGGATTCGGCCTGAGGCGATCTGGGGCTATTGTAACCGATGATAAAGTCAATAATCGTCGATTTGGGCGAAAAATGTTCCAGGGGCATTTTAGTAATTTTCACTGTGCTTTTTCGGAAGGCCATTTTCCTTGGATTTTGAAAGTTTCGGATCACGGATTCGGCCTGAGGCTATCTTTCATCGACGGTAAAGTTTATTAAGCAGCGATTCGGGCGTATTTGTTCCGGACACATTTTTGGCATTTTTCAATGGGTTACCATCACACATTTCAGGCGATTTTTTTGGAATGGTAATTTTTGTTGGATTTTGCAGGATACAGATCTCGGATTCAGCCTGAGGCGGTCTGAGGCTATCGCCGATTGGGGTGAAAATATTCCACGGGGCATTTTCTTAATTTTATGCGTGCATTTTCGGAAGGCCATTTTCCTTGGATTTTGAAGGCTTCGGGTCACGGATTCGGCCTGAGGCTATCCTTCACCAATGGTTAAGTCTATTAAGTAGAGATTCGGGCGTATTTTTTCTGGGACCATTTTTGGCATTTTCGAAAGGGGAACCATCACAAATTTCGAGCGATTTTTTGGAATGGTCATTTTTGTTGGATTTTGGAGGCTATAGATTGCGGATTCGTCATGAGGCGATCTGGGGCTATTGTAACTGATGATAAAGTCAATAATTGTCGATTGGGGCGAAAAATTTTCCGGGGCCATTGATCGTAATTTTCCGCGCGCTTTTTCGGAAGGCCATTTTCCTTGGATTTTTAAGGCTTCGGATCACGGATTCACCTGAGGCTATCCTTCACCGATGGTTAAGTTTATTAAGCAGCGATTCAGGCGTATTTGTTCAGGGCCCATTTTTTGCATTTTTCAAAGTGGTACCATCACAGATTTCGGGAGATTTTTTGGAATGGTCATTTTTGTTGGATTTTGGAGGCTACAGGTCGCGGATTCGTCATGAGGCGATCTGGGGCTATTGTACACCGATGATGTTAATCACCAATTTGGGCGAAAATGTTCCGGGGGCATTTTTGTGATTTTCATCGTGCTTTTTCAGAAGACCATTTTCCTTGGATTTTGAAGGTTTAGGATCACGTATTCGGCCTAGGGCTATCCTTCACCGATGGTTAAGTCTATTAAGCACTAATTCGCTCATATTTGTTCTGGGTCCCTTTTTGGCATTTTCCAAAGGGGTACCATCACAGATTTCGGCCGATTTTTTGGAATGATAATTTTTGTTGGATTTTGGAGGCTATAGATCTCGCATTCGGCATGAGGCGATCTGGTCCACCGATGATGAAGTCAATTAATCCCCGATTTTGGGCGAAAAAAGTTCCTGGGGGCATTTTCGTAATTTTTGCCCGCTTTTTCGGAAGATCAATTTCCTCGGATTTTGAAGGCTTCTGATCACGGATTCGGCGTGAGGATATCCTTCACCAATGGTTAAGTCTATTAAGCACCGATTCGGGCGTATTTGTTCCGGGCCCATTTTTGGCATTTTCCAAAAGGGGACCATCACATATTTGGGCGATTTTTTGCAATGGTCATTTTTGGAGCCTAAAGATCGCGAATTTGGCCTGAGGTGATCTGGGGCTATTGTCCACCGATGATGAAGTCAATTAATCGCCGATTTTGGCGAAAAATGTTCCAATGGGCATTTTCGTAATTTTCCGCGTGCTTTTTTGGAAAGCTATTTTCCTTGGAATTTGAACGCTTCGAATCACGGATTCGGCATGAGACTATCCTTCACCGATGGTTAGGTTTATTATGCACTGATTTGACCGTATTTGTTCCGGGCCCATTTTTGGCATTTTCCAAAGGGGTACCATCACAGATTTCGGGCGATTTTTTGGAATTGTCATTTGTTAATTTTGGAGGCTACAGATCGCGGATTCAGCCTGAGGCGATCTGGGGCTATTGTCCACCGATGATGAAGTCAATTAATCGCCGATTTGTGCGACAAATGTCCCGGGGGCATTTTCGTAATTTTCCGCGTGCTTTTTCGGAAGACCATTTTTCTTGGAATTTGAACGTTTCGGATCACGGATTCGGCATGAGACTATCCTTCACGATGGTTAAGTCTATTAAGCACCGATTCGGGCGCATTTGTTCCGAGCCCATTTTTGGCATTTTCCAAAGGGGTACCATCACAAATTTCGGGCGATTTTTTAATGGTTATTTTGTTGGATTTTGGAGGCTACAGATCGCGGATTCAGCCTGAAGCGATCTGGGGCTATTGTCCACCGATGATGAAGTCAATTAATCGCCGATTTGTGCGACAAATGTTCCGGGGGTTAAGGCTATCCTTCATCGGTGGTTAAGTCTATTAAGTACCGATTCAGACGT